CTCCACCCTCCCCCCATTCTCCTCCCTGCCTTTTCCTTCCGTCTGGGTTGATTGTGTCTGTGCAGTTGCCCCTCGCGAGCAGCTCTGACGCGCACCCAGTGCCTCCCACGTCCAGCCACCACCCGTCTGCCCGCGGGGACTTGCTTGTCGCTGGGACGCTGGGCAGGTGTCAGTAGAGCTTCCGGACGAAGGCAGACTCGGAAGAAACACCTGGCAATCAGTCCATGAAAGCTCTCTGCTTACAGCGATCAGATGGCACCCTGCCGTGGGGGTGACGCAGACCGAGAAGCGCCTCACTGTCTCGGGCTTGGGGTCGCCACGAGCTGAGGCTGTCCAACAGCAGCGACCACCAGCGATGATAACATGGACTCAGTGGGAAGATCTTACTGCACCGGGCAAACCTGCGCCAAAAGGCCTGCTTAGAGGGCTGGAGAGCAGAGACTTCTCTTTGAAGACTAAGGTGCACCTACTCATGCTATTTTCAATCTCCTCATATGCATGGGAGCATGACTAAGGAAGACCAAAGAAGGCTTGATGCTTTTGAGTAGTGTTGTTAGCAAAGAATATGGAAACTACCATAGACTGTTAGAAGAACGAACAAATCTGTCCCGGAAGAAGTGCGGTCAGAATGCTCCTTGGAAGCGAGAATGGTCAAACTTCATCTCATCTACTTTGGTCACATTGTTAGAAGGGACCATTCCCTGGAGAAGGGTATCATGCTTGGTACAATGGAGGGTCAGAGAAACAGGGGAGACCGTCAGGGAGATGGATTGGCTGCAACGGTGGGCTCAGGTCTCGCAAGGATCACGAGGCCGGCACAGACCAGAGCAGTGTTTCACTGTGGCCCATGGGGTTGCTGCGAGTTGAAGTTAACTCAACGACACCCGACAACAACACAGTGCAAAGATCTCCACGAAGAAAGCTTTTCTGGTCCCATGGGAACAGCGTTCCCACGGCAATCTGCCCTTTTCCAAGGCTCTTTGCTGGCAAACCCATGTGGACAGAGGCATCATGGGACAATTGGGCAGGTGGCAGTCCTCACATGCCCACAGGTACTTTTCTCTGTGGTCTTTTTCTTTCAAACCCACCAGCCACTCCTTGGAAGGAAGGTTGGGCAATCGACTTCTGTAGTGATACCACCTCAGGAACCCAAGGAGGGGTCACCAGGAGTTGGGTCCGAATCGACAGCAATGCCTTGCCTTTTTGTTTCCTGCACAACTTACTATAAATCACACAACTAGTAACTCAGCTTACCGAATGTGGTAGGAAAACTTGGTTTACTCGCTAACTCATTTTACATTGCAAGTCTTTCTTTCTTTCAAAATTTGTATTGTGATTTGGGTTTACAGAAAGTTTACAGAGCAAGCTCATTTTCCATACAGCAGTTCATACTCATTTTGTTTTATGACATTGAGGGCCATTCCCCACAGTGTAACAAGTTCATTTTCCAGACAGCAGCTCACGTGTTGTCTCATGACATTGACTGCAATCTCCCACAATGCAACAGCTCCCCTCCCACTTCCTTCTGATACTTACCTCTTCCCAGTGTCCATCCCTCCATGCACTCCTGCCCCCTGAGCTGTCTCCCTGTGCACACACAGCCCTTCTTTCTCCCATGATTATTCTCTCCAAGGAGTGTATCTACCTCAGGTACATGGTCAACTCATATGCCTGTCTTTTGTTTGGCTGGAAGCCACAGGTGTGGGTTCAATTCCAGACCTGAAGGGCAGCTAGGGGCCATAGTCTCAGGGGTCATTGCAAAAAAAATTTTTTTTTTTTTAATATTGTATTTTCTTGTTATTAAGAATATACACAACAGAACACACACTCATTGAACAAATGCACCATTTGGTGACACTCACAGCTTCTTCAGGCTGTGGAATCATCGTCATCCTCCTTTTCTGAGTCATTCCTTCCCCCAGAACATCAACTCACTGCCCCCCAAGTTTCTTATCTAACCTTTCGAGTTGCTCTGTCACTTTGACCCACATACATCGATCTTAAAAGAGCAAAACAACGTTGAGGGCAGCCTTTGTGGACTAGTTCAGCTAAACTGGTGTTTGGTTTTAAGAAGATGTCAGGGGATATTTTTGGCTTAAGGTTTAAAGGTGGCCTCAAGGCAATCGTTTCAAGGGCTCGTTCAGCCTCCATGGTTCCAGAAAGTCTGGATTCCATGAGAATTCATCGTTTGGAAGTCTTTAGGAGTAATTTTGAATACACTACTGCTAAGCTGAGGTCCCAACAATGCCCCTACACAATGGCAATGAGGGAAACCTGTATGTACCATCTTGAAAACCAAACATCTGTATGGTTGGATTGCATGTTTTAGCGTGGTTGTTGGCAGTTGCTGCTAAGCTGGCTTTGAGTCATGGCGACCCTGTGCACAGTGGCTTGAAACCTTGCTCAGTCCTGCACCAACCTCACGATCGCCGGTCGGCTAAAGGGCATTGTTACCGCCACTGTGTGTGCTGAGTGTCTTCTAACCCAAGGGGCTTATGTGCCACCACGCAGTCCGACAATGTTCTGTTGGGATCCACAGTGTTTTCACTGGTTGATCTTTGAAAGTCGATGACCAGTTACTATTCAAAATATCAGTGGCCTAGTTTTGAGGCACAAGCAAACCACCACAGCACCAACAGCTGACATATAAGTGGTGAGTGTTAGCATTGCACCAAACCAAACTCATTGCCATGGAGTCGATGCCAACTCACAGCGCCCCTAGAGGACAGAGTGGAACTGCCCACAGGGTCTCCAAGGCTGTCAATCTTCACGGAAGCAAAGCCCAAACCACACCCACTGCCTGGAGTCCATTCTGACTCACAGCGCCCCTAGAGGACAGAGTGGAACTGCCCACAGGGTCTCCAAGGCTGTCAATCTTCACGGAAGCAAAGCCCAAACCACACCCACTGCCTGGAGTCCATTCTGACTCACAGCGCCCCTAGAGGACAGAGTGGAACTGCCCACAGGGTCTCCAAGGCTGTCAATCTTCACGGAAGCAAAGCCCAAACCACACCCACTGCCTGGAGTCCATTCTGACCCACAGCGCCCCTAGAGGACAGAGTGGAACTGCCCACAGGGTCTCCAAGGTTGTCAATCTTCATGGAAACAAAGCCCAAACCACACCCACTGGAAGCAAACCCCACACCAAACCCACTCGAAGCAAAGCCCAAACCAAACCCACTGCCGTGGAGTCAATTCTGACTCAGAGCATCCCCACTGGGTTTCCAAGGCAGGAATTATTTACAGAAGTAGATTGTCCCACCTTCTTTCCATGGAGCAGCCAGTGGGTTTGAACCACCAATCTTCTGGTTATCAGTCAAATACCTTAAGCACTGGGCCACCAGAGGTGGTAGTATTACCTTATAACTGCCAACCACTAAGAATCAGGGTATTAGGGTAGATTAACTCAGATCACCCCTGGTGGCACATATGTTTAAGTGCTCAGCTACAGTCAAAAGTTTAACATTTCAAATACACCGAGAGGTGCCTCCAAAGACAGGCCTGGTGCTGTTCTCCCTGAAAATCAGCAGTTGCTAACCCCAGGGAGGCCAGTACTGCTCTGACAGGAATGGGATTATAGTGTGTCAGAATCGACTCCATGGCAACTGGTTTAGATTTAATCAAACATTGGGTCTTTGCATGGAAATAGAGATTTGGAATCGCTATTTTAAAGAACTGATGTAGGAAGAAGATATTAAAATTTCCATGCACGAAGGTTGATTTTTTGGGGTCCTGTGTTGTTGTAGTAAGACGTGGGTGCTGTTTGGTGCATTCATGGGATTTGAACCAGAATGTTTTGTCCCTGCAGGAGTGGATCAGAGACACTCAGAACGTGACCCATGTGACTAAGTTGGAGAGCGAGGAGGACTGTGATGTGGAGGAGATGTTGGTGGCCCACCTGGTCAAGGCAGAAACGGAGGCACCCACGACAAGGCTGCTATGCCCACAGATGGGGGTGGAAGAGGCCACGGGTCCTGGCCAGCATCCTTGCCAGCCCCCCCAATGCGGTGACATGGTCTCCCTGGGTGGCTTTTCTTTTGTGATGAATGACAACATGTATGTGACGCTATGAAAGGGTGCCATCTCCAAAGCCAACACCAGGGTGAATGTTATTAAAGGACCAAGGGGCTCACCACCATCTTGGACCAATGATACTGGCATCTGGGAGCAGTGAAGACTCTCATCACCAGAGTAAATGGCTCCCTGCACCCCATTTTATTCCCAGGACATCTCCATTGCAGGGCTGAATGGTGGGACCATTTTAGGTGGGGGACTTGCTGTTGGCTTGTATCTTGTCCTCTCGGGTGCTGTTCACTAGCATCTTGAAGAAGAATGGCCCAGGTGCGTGACGGCACCTGCTTCTGTTCACATAGGACAGTCATGTCCTCCACCATGTCAATCAACAGGGGTCACTAGACCCTTTGTTCCATGGGATGAATAGATAGATGGTAGACAGTTGATGGATGGATGGATGGATGGAGAGATAGATGGATGCATAGATGGGTGGATGGTGGATGGGTGGATGGATGGATGGATGGGTGGATGGATGGATGGGTGGGTGGATGGGTGGATGGATGGATGGATGGGTGGATGGATGGATGGGTGGGTGGGTGGATGG